CTTGAACATTCCTTGTAAGTTTGTTGGATTCTATGATATTTTTTTTTTATCATTACCAGAACTCAAGCTTATCTTTAAGAAAATCATATAATACTAGTTTGCTTGTGTCATTCAATTTTATCATTAAAATGGTCCTTTTACATACACAGAAAAGTAATGATACATAATTATCTTGCCGAGAAACCGCCTACTAATTGATATATTTGGTAAAATATCATATATATTTGGACCTGATAGATATAACGCACGTGTCTCGCACGTGTTGCGTAGTCCCATATGCATCTTTCTGTGTACAGTGCTTGTAACTTTACCAAGACTTGGCAAAATTTCTTATCATTTTGATGATTAACCAGAACCTTGCAGTACACTTCAATACTTATATGCTAGATGATCAACCTTTTCTGATCGATTCCACAACGTTTCTTTCACAATGCAATCGCATGACCATAACTGGTTTTTATTCTTGATGGGAGCATTTCCTGCCTTTTGCTGTCATACAAGGAATGAGAAAGTTAACAAATTATTAATCTTTGCCAGTTCTCAACCTTTAATGTAGATAATTATGATATGATGAGAAATTTAGGGAAAATTAATCATTTATCCGACAGTACCGCAAATAAATTAAGCCACTAATCCCCCAAGAAAGATTGTAATCGATCAATACATAGCTGTTAAAAAAAAATGTATATCCTTATTTTCTGATTACAAGTGAAATAGAAATACAGGAATAAATTGTTGATATACTTAACACAAAAATAAAAAAAATTGTGATTTTTAAAAGATAAACGTTGTATTTAACTTAATTTCTGTTCACCTTGTAGCTATTATAATGACATTCACTATTTTAAAAAAATGATTTAAAAAGTAGTCTTAAAATTAATACCCATTAATAATAAGATTTCTGATATTAATGCTCATCGAGTTTTTTAATATAAATTGTTGGAGAATGGTCCTCCTTCGTCCGGAAGTGAAGACCATTAAAGATATAAATTGTAAAATAAGAATTAATGACCAGACTTGAATATGAAAAGAATATGTGGGAGACCTATTTAGTTCTTTAAGCATAAATACTACATTTATTTATGCAACGTTCAAGGTAAAATACCCAATTTCTAGGGTTTCAGAACTAACATTGCCTATAATAAAGATCTTGAATATCGTATCGAAAAAAGAAAAGCAAGTTGCCCTTGCACTTTAAAAAATGGAAGTTTGTTTTTATAATGTTGTATAGGTAAAAAGTCGCATTATTTAAGAAACATTTAAAAACTCATTTGTTTTCTTTGTAATTATTGTCATTTTTAGAGTGTAATGCACTTGGAGAGTATATAACTATTATGTTTGTATTTTAAAATGTAAAGCGCCTTGAGCATGTTCATGTAAAGGCGCTCAATAAATACCAATATGTATGTATGTATGTATAGGTACATGTGCATGTAATTGCCTGCATCTTAGAGTAAATTCTCTTTTCGTGAGGTTTTGATCTACCTGGTACTGCTTTTGTTGTAATCCTTTAATAATTACTTGTAAATATTGTGATGTATTTGATTGTTCCAATAAAACACATGAACAAAATAATAATAATGACTACCCGCCAGTACGATGTCTCGTGGGAATCACGATGTTTTTTTATAATGATTTTATCCTTTGTATTGTTTGATTGGTTCTTCTACGTAATTCTTTTGTATACACTTTGTTTTGCCGAATGAATAATAATAAAAATAATAGTAGGCCTACTTAGGGTACAGATTAATGATTATATTTTCTACAATCAGACCGGCTTTAATTACTAACATATTGTATGGATGTAACTTTCCAGGGGACCATATAGCCTCCCGATTTTCTCGCGATGTCATTTATTCTAAGTAAACATAGTTTTGCACATTGTCTCAGACAGAGCTAATTATCTAGTTAACTATCATTCAGATAATTCAAGTTGGATCGGAAATTGTGTGTTGACTAATGCATGGCGTATGGTTTATTTCCAGGCAATCAAATGCAGCGCTAGGGTGGCTGGTCTAAGTTTTAAAAAAAGGTTTTCTCCTGGCCCTCGGCTTCTCTCTCGTGCATTCCCTCTTGTACTCAGTCTCATTCAACCCTACCGAATTCTGGATGTTGTCTATCCTTCCTGCAGGGGTAATCCCCCTCCCCCCCCCCCACTCATTGTTATTTAGGGTACGCATATGCGTGTTCTCTCCTTTTGAAAACACCCCCTAAGTCCGGTGTGTAAAGTCAATTTTATGTATGTACGAGCCGGACTTTGGTGTGTGAAAAGTACCCCTTTACCTGACATTTTGGTAACACACATGCGGTCATTCCGACCCCGGAGTGGGGGGGGGGGGGGGGGGCCCGGTGGGGTCACTCCTCCGCAGAGGGTGACGCATATGACCGTTACCACAAATGCAAATACCCCCCTATTGCGGTCAATTTCAAGGAAATTTTGTGATATTTAACCCCCTTTTTTACGTCAAAACAAGGACAAAATCGTGCTTTGGAATACCCCTATTTATAAGATTGTGAGGACACTAGTCTTTCGCAAATTTACCCCTATTTTACCATATTTCAAGGACAAGACTCGACTCCGAGCATTTTTTCCCCCGGTTTTCTCTATTCCCTTTTCCTGACCCCTATTTATCAATTTCGAGGACACCTGTGCACCCCTATTTTCTATATTTCGAGGAATATTTTGTCCGCGGACATTGCTTGAAATTGACCCCTTTTTCCGCGATTTTGGTAACGGTCATGCGGTCCGGAAGTCACATTGAGTGACCCCACCGGGGGGGGGGGGGGGGGGGCAAGTTTCTCGAAACAGTCATAAATAAATCCAAGCCCCCCCCCCCCCCCCCCCCCCCCCACTCGCATACCAAAGTGGTACGCGTGCTCGTCATAAAAAACGCCGAAAAAGGGTAGATTTTTGGCCTTGTGGTCGACGTTTTTAGAAAAAAGGTGCTTTTCAGGTTATGTTTCGACGTTTAGGTTATTTCTTTTTTCCAACTTGAAGTTCGACGTTTATGGTCACTTTTCGAAGAAATAGTGAATTCTCATATTCAGTTACCTCTACAACAAAGAAACTAATTTCAAATCAAGTGATTTTCCCCCTAAAAATTACTCCGAAATCGGCAAATTTCAAAATGGTAGTCCCACGCATAGTGGTTCGAGTTTGTTGTAAAATGACCAACCATCAATTAACAAGAGTGGCCCAGAAAGTCGGTGAAAAGGTATGTTTATGTTTATAACTTATTTTTATTACAATATATGACTTTCTCTTTTGTATCTTTTGAAATAAAATTCCACTTCAAAATATGAAACGCAGTTTTTCACATAAAAAACGGCCTTGCACTTGGTGCTTTTGCTACATTTCTGATGACTAGCTGTGTAAGCTAGAGTCACTCAGCTGAGCTGAGCCGAGTGCATCACATAAATATGTTTATGGCCATTCTACAAAGATAATTCTGCTTTCTGATGAGGACTGTGTCTGTTGATTGTATTTATTGCATAAATGCTGTATTTTAGGCCAAAGCTGATATCAATTAATATTTTCTAGGAGGCAGAAAATTCAATCTGTGCTAATCACGGCTGACATGATGTAATCGCAGACACATGCACAGCCCAATTGAGTTCACTTTCTCTTTATAAGTGAACATGCCTTCCTATACCTAATTCTCTCCTCATTTTTTTTCCTCTCTTCCATTTACTATTTTTCTTTCCTATCAACGTTCTGTAATGTAATTGCATAATAATATCTATAATGTTCTCTCGGTAGCTGTGTTAACTAATTATGGGCGTTCCCAACTTAAGCTATGCTTTCCGGGTTTTCGCCTCTTTCCGTATTTGAATTATTTACTTTATACTCTATGTTGAAATAATTGTTACATATATCATTTATATATACATTGTGTTTCATATTGTACTGTTGAGAATGAAATAAATGTTAATAAATACAATACAATATTAAAGGGAGCATTTTCTGCCTACTGCTGTCATGCAAGGAATGTAAAAGTTGACAAATATTCATCCATGCAAGTTCTCAACCTTTAATGTAGATAATTATGATATGATGAGAAATGTAAGGGAAATTAATCATTTATCCGACAGTACCGCAAATACATAAAGCCACTAATCCCCCAAGAAAGATTGTAATCGATCAATACACAGCTGTTAAAAATGTATATGATTATTTTCTGATATCTGAGGATTACAAGTAAAATGGAAATACAGGAATAAATTGTTACCATACTTAACACAAATGTTAAACATTTGTGAATAATTATTGTGAATAATTAAAGATAACTGTTCTATTTAACTTAATTTCTGTTCACCTGTATCGATTACTATAACATTCACTGTTTACAAAAATAATTTAAAAAAGTATAAATAAAGTTAATACCACTTACATGTCCGATTTACTGACATTAACACTCTTTGAGTTAGTTAATACAATTGTTGGAGAATGGTCGTCCTTCGTCCGGAAGTGATAACCATTAAATATATAATTTGTGAAATAAGAACAATGACCAGATTTGGCAATGAAAAGAATATATGGGAGACCTATTTAGTTCTTTAAGCATAAATACTACATTTATTTATGCAATGTTCAAAGTAAAATACCCAATTTCTAGGGTTTCAGAACTTACATTGCCTATAAATATAGATCTAGAATATCTTATAGCAAAAAAGAAAAGCAAGTTTCCCTTGCACTTTAAAAAATGGAAGTTTGTTTGTATAATGTTGTATAGGTACATGTGCATGTAATTGCCTGCATCTTAGTGTAAATTCTCTTTTCGTAAGGTTTTGATCTACGTACATACTGCTTTTGTGTAATCTTTTTAAAATTACTTGTAAATATTGTGATTGTATTTTATAATGAAAACAAGATATTTTATGACTCATAGTTTTTATATTTATCTAATAACACTGTGACATGATTTGTATTGAGTTTATGCTTGAAATAAGTAAAACATCTAGAGAAATGCATAAACGAAAAATTGTCCTCAATCTCATCGATCTGGAAATACAGCCTGTTCGATCTTTGGTGACTTTTCTATGGTAGACCGATGTACATACTTCTACAAATAATATTTATCTTCGAAAATAATATCGTTAGTGACATTCGTTTGTCTCGCAATGTATGGTCAACAAGGGATCGGAAAGATCACGACGTTTCGTGTGCCGCTGCTACACTTCGTCAGGTGATAAAATATATTGTAAGCAGGCGTCTTTTAATCTCTACGGATGTACCGGGCGGACCGGCGCACAGTGGACCAGGAAGGAACCAAAGTGCGCCAAAACTCATGTTTGGGGTTTTATTTTTTATAAATCCAGAGGAAATGTTTGGATTTCCAGGGATTTTCGCTTAAATTTTATTACCAACATTTTCTCTGATGTCTACGCTTTAAGTTGATACCAGATTTGGCTGCCCGATTATTCCCGTTATTATGTTAGAGCCGTTTTCCTTGCAACATTGCCCCGAAAAATGTGTTTATTTTGGTCCGCGGTGTCAGAACAAGTGTCACGCGCCCCCTCGCGCCGTGATTTATGACCACAAATCCTTCATGATTCAGCCGCGGACCCCCAAAACCCACATTTTTCGGGGCAATGTGGCAAGGGAAATCGGCTCTAACATAACAACGGGCAAGATCGGGCAGCCACTTTTGGTATCAACTTGAAGCTTAGACATCAGCGAAAATGGTGGTATTAAAATTTAAGCGGTACACCGCGGAGATCTAAACATTTCTTTTGGATTTATAAAAAACATGGATAATTAGTCCATTTTTCAGTGAATTACCCTATAATATATCATGAAGACTGTGTTTCTATTAATTTTAACCCATTCATTCAACGAAATGAACTATCAGGAATATGTGAGAGCAATTTCATATCAATAACTTAAAAACTTCATGTTGAATTGAAAGATTTATAAAATAAGTCACTTTTGCACTAAAACTGTGAATATGTAGGATTTTGCTGTTTGAAGCAGTAAATTTATACCCTTATTAAGCATTCCGGAATTAAATATTTCACTGAGGTATTCCTCTATGTATTACCTTTCAACTGGGCAAGAAAAAATTGAAAAAAAAAAAATCACCCAAACTTAGTTTTGGCGCACTTTGGTTCCTCCCTGGCCCACTGTGCGGCGGTCAAATAAGAGTGCAGTGGGGTCCAAGGGGCGCTCCGCCTAGAAGCTCAGGTAAAAATCATGCCATCTCAGCACCATTTGTCACTGGTATCGAATTAGAAATAAACCACGTTTGAATTTTATGTTGGGGTCAATTGCTGCCCCCCCCCCCCCCCCTATCAGTACGCCAGTGCTGAAAGTCGGCCAATCCCGTGTACGCAGCAGCAGTCGCGAGGACGTGGTAGGCCAACTTCTACGAGTCGCACGTCCTCCTTACGATCACTCGTTGGCGTCTTAGCGTCTTTACCCATTGACTACTGAATTATTTAATTCCCATAGGCTTAATACAGGAACCACCCGGTTCCAGTAAACAAAGGGTTAATTGCACCCTCATCAAAACATACTCCCCCCCCCCCCCCCCCCCCCCCCAATTACCTGCAAACATCCCTGAGGTGAGAACTCAAAACGCCCGTTGGCACAAAGCTTTTTTTCAATGACAAAAATCAGTGACAAATCTGCTGATAACCAATCAGAAGCAAGGATTTCAGTAGCTTATAACAACAACTGAAATGTATCATTATCCGACAGTACCGCAAATAAATTAAGCCATTAAACCTCCAAGAACGATTGTAATCGATCAATACATAGCTGTTTAAAAATGTGTATCATTATTTTCTAATGTCTTAGAATAACAACTAAAATAGAAACACAGGAATAAAATATTAACATACTTAACAAAAAAAACTAAACATTTTCTGAATTATAAAAGATAACTATTGTATATAACTTAATTTCTGTTCACCTTGTATCGATTATTCAAACATTCACTGCTTTAAAAAAATAATTTTAAAAGTATTAATTGAATTGATACCGATTCCTCCTATTTATGACATTAATAGCTCGTCGAGTTAATTAATATAATTGTTGGAAAATGGTCATCCTTCGTCCGGAAGTGAGGACCATTAAATTAATAATTTGTGAAATAAAATTAATAACCAAATTTGGCTATGAAAAGGATATGTATTTGATCTATTCAGTCCTCATGCTTATTTATGCAAAGTTCAAAGTAAAATACCCAATTTTCAGGGTTTCAGAACTAATACAGATCTTGAATATCGTCAGATGGTACTGTTCCTGTGTCTAGAGATTGTTGAAAGATAAAGGTCAGGATCGGTGCAATGTCTTCAGCAAAGAACTTAAATATCCTTCCTGGTATGCCATCTGGTCCTGTGGCTTTGCTAACATTTGTAGCTTTCAGTAGCGTGACAATGCACACAAAGAGGTGAGAACAATTAGGCCTATTCAAATTCATCGGCAAACAGCGTACGCCTCATTTAGACTTCAAATTTCAAAACCTTGAAGATAATCTTGAGCTCTAGTATGGGCATCGTATGTCGAGTGGATATTACTATAATTAAAAAAATGTTATATATAAAAATAACCTCACAAAAACTTGCTGGAAATCATCTTCAATAAAAACCACAGCTCTCATTTACACTTAGTGACCTGTGTTTAAAGGCCCACTACACCACTTGTCGCTATTTGCGCCCTCTATATAACAAACCATGCCTAATCGGTGACCATTGGTCCCCCATGATCCTCTTTTTCTTATGTTAACTGAGAGCTGAGTTGATGAGATAACCACCTGTCCAGTGACCTTGCAGGGCAGTCTTATCCCTCCTGTAAACTATGGCAGATACGCTTTAACACATGGTGTAGGGCCTATACTTACCTTGATTTCTGAATGTTTCTATGCTCATTACTCAGCCCCTACACCTTTCTATCAAAATCGTTGGGCACGTGTCATTTATTTGTAATCTTGAACTGATTCCGTTTAAGTTTTGTTAGATTGTGTGAAAATTGAGTTTCGTATCGTTACTAGAACTCAAGCTTATCTTTCAGAAAATCAGTGTAATACTATTGTGCTTATGTCATTCAATTTAATCATTAAAATGGTCCTTTTACATACAGAAAAGTGTATATTGAAAAACGCGCACTTTAGCCTACGGCATGGATCTTTTAGTCCGCATTTGAATTAGGCCAACTAACAAAAGCAAAGTGTCTCTCGTCCCAGCCCGCCTTATTTTTATTTTTTTGTTTTACTATTTACTATTCAGGAACCCCCCCCCCCCCAAAAAAAAAAAAAGCCCAAACAAATATTTCTGAAAGCCTGTGATATACATTTTGTTTGAATGGCTTCTCAAGTGGCACAAATCATATTTTTCGGTCATACATTGCATCAGTATACTCACATAGCACAATATATGTGAATGAATAGGCTTGGTCAGCTATAATTAGCAAGGCAGCCATTTTGCAAAAAATTGCAAAATAGTAAATCATGTAATGCCCTGCCTCCTCCGGACAAAAAAACACGTATTTTTGGTTATTTGGCCTTAAAGGGGAAATCCACTCTGAAATTAAGTTAGTTTTAATAGGAGTAGAAAAATGAGAGAAACAAGTCAGTGAAAGTTTGAGCAAATTCCGATTAAAAATAAGGAAGTTAGGGTTTTTGAAGTTGTGATCAATCAAACACAAATTGGCAACTCTATGACGTATCATGCGAGCTCAACTTCCATTTGCTCAGTACTAAAAAAATCTAAAATTTTCATTTTCCCTCAAGAAAAATTTCAACCATACATGCACCCTAAATATAATAATTGCAAATATGTTTCTATACTCCCCCTGCAAGGAACAAATATATATTCCGTCATCAATAACGAAGAAAACATGATTTTATGGAATATTATGCACAAAGCAAATGAAGGAGAGCTCGTATAATAAGTCACAGAGTTGCCAATTTGTATTTGATTGATCACAACTTCAATAATTCATAACTTTCTTATTTTCATTCAGAATTTGCTCAAACTTTCACTCACCTGATTTTCTTATTATTCTGCCTCTGTCGAAACAAACTTATTTTGGGGGTGGACTTTCCCTTTTTAGGAGCATTTTCTGCCTTCTGCTGCCATACAAGGAATGAGAAAGTTGACCCCAAAAAACACATCTTTGCCAGTTCTCAACCTTTAATGTAGATAATAATGATTATGAGAAGGGAAATTAATCATTTATCCGACAGTATAAACAAACAATAACAATAATAACAATAATACTGTGCCACATTGTATGTACCTTGGCACCATGAGCTTGTATGATCTAATGATCTATTTCTTTAATCTTAAGTATGTTGAATATTAATTTAAATTATTTGTATGCGCCTTGAGCATCATTGGAGATGGATATGTTGCGCTTTATAAATATTGTTATTATTATTATTATTATAACCGCAAATACATTAAGCCACTAATCCCCAAGAAAGATTGTAATCGATCAATACATAGCTGTTAAAAATGTATCATTTTTTTCTGAATTCTTAGGATTACAAGTAAAATAGAAATACAGGAATAAATTGTTAATACAGTAATTAACCCTGATGTTAAACATTTGTTAAACATCAAAGATAACCGTTGTATTTAACTTAATTTATGTTCACCTGTATCTATTTTTTTAACATTCACTGTTCAAAAAAATTTATTTTAAAAGTTATATTTAAATTGATGCAATTGTTAATTTACTGTGACGTTGATCGCTCATCGAGTGAATCGATACAATTGTTGGAGAATGGTCGTCCTTCGCCCGGAAGTGAAGACCATTAAAGATGTTGCTGAAATGACATGATTTTCCGGTATTTTCTCAATTTTGATTGTAAGTCATACATTTTTATGCGTTTGTTGGAAAATTAGAAATTCCCAGATTTACAGTCGGGCGAAAAATGTGGGCTCGGGGGCTCGACCCCCCCCCTCATTTTTTGAAAAAGTATGTTACAGAGAAAAAGATAAAAAATAAGTGACCTGCCAATGCCACAATTGAGGAATCGAAATATGCTTATCTGACCGTAATTAAATGCATAAAACCCCAGAGCTTCCTGGGGCTCTGCCCCCTGAAACCCCACCAAGGGCCCTAAGGCGGGCCTCTAGATGCTCTTCGGACCGTAATTAAATACCTAAAATCCCTGAGCTTCCGGGAGCTCTGCCCCCTTGACTCTCTGTCTAATTAGTGACCCAACAGTGTCACAAATAAGGTATCTAAATATGCTTATCTGACCGTGATTTAATGCCTAAAAACCCTGAGCTTCCGGGGATTCAGCCCCTTAACCCCCAGCCGGGGCTTTCAAACGTTTTTGCTCATTACACCACTGCCCCGTGAAGGTGAGCCCCCTGGAACGTTTGCCCCCAAATCCCATACTGCTTCCGGCGCGCCTGCTCTCGTGCATTCCCTCTTGTACTCAGTCTCATTCAACCTTCTCAAATTCTTGATGCTGTCTTTCTATCCTGCAGGGACGAGTTTCTCAAAACCGTTGTTAGTCTACGTTCGTGGACATCCCATAGAAGCGCGTGCTAATTCTACAACACACGTTAAAATAGTATGTCCAAAAAGTTAGACTTAGAACGGTTTCGAGAAACGGCCCCCTAGGGGCGTTTCACAAAGACCCTTGGTTGAACTTTAATCATCTCCAAGTTGGACTTAATGATTATGGAAAGCCGTTAGCATCTTTGAAAATAGAATGTTGATTCAAATTATTCATTTTTTCGATTATCAAGGAGATTCCATGTTCTTGATGAGGAATTTTTGAAAAATCTAAAATACTTGAATTTTTGCTTTTGAATATATTTTATTTTAAGGCTACAAATGGATCTCCATAATGTTTAAGTCTTACTTAGAGTTAAGTTCGACTTAGGATCTTTGCGAAACACCCCCTGGTACCATAACTCTGTTCCTGACGCACAAACCGTCTGCTAATATGGAGACAGATATTCATCGAGAAGCATTTATATTCTAAACATATTTTTATTACAATATACATACGTATAAACCTTGTACATTTGAAGTTACAAAAAGGGGGACAAAACTCCCCGATTACAATAAATGGTACATATTAATGATCAAAATATATTTACAGGTATATATATATATTTTTTATACTCCGAACAAATTACTTTACGATAAAAAATAGTTGGTAGAAAACAAAGACTAGCTCCTAAAGTCTGCCATTTATTATTTAAAAGATTCAGACAGTGATATTTATTAAAGGGACTTATTGTTCAGATGAGAGAACATGATGCTGTTAGATGTCCAATCTAAGATAATCTGAAAGTGTGAGTAAAAACAGATCATTATTAATGATAAAAATCGTGAAAAACTGATCTGATCGATTCCTAAATTCCCCCAATTATATTTTTATAATTTAATCAAATCTTAGGTTAACGAAATCCACCACAAAGCAATGAATCGGCCTTTTTATGAAAGAGTGTTTTATCCCAAATCATTTGGTACCATTTTGTGTGGTATGTGTTCACGCTTGGATGAACAGGAGACATTGTTGCGAGAGTGCAAAAATCGACTTGCGCCAAAGTTGTCTATGTGATGTTTGAATAAAACAATTGGGTTTGGGTATTAATTCGTTCTTTGCAGATCCAAATAACACCCCTAACAAAATTAATCATGCCACAGCAGCCACACATATCAAATATCGAGTATCAAACATCAACAAATATTTGTGCACGTGTGTGTAGGTGTGTGTGGCTTCGTCATTTGCAAAAAAAACATATGCAATGCATTTCATTTGATACATGTACATTCAATCCATTCTCTCGCTCCGCTAATCCCAACATAATACATAATGTAGGCATCACTTTGGCGCAAGTCGATTTTTGCACTCTCGCAAACAATGCCACCTGTTCATCCAAGCGTGAACACATACCACACAAAAATGGTACCAAATGATTTGGGATAAAACACCCTTTCATGAGATGTATAATAATTTTTAAAATAATTAGCAATTTTCTAGGTGTAAACTTTGTTTTGACTCACACGGTATATCATTCCAAACATTTAAACGTTGACAGATTGTTAAAAGCCCGTTTTATGTTTTATCTTCATGGAAAATGGTTGGGAAAATTCAAAAACTGGTCGGAAGAATTTTCTGTTAGAGGATGTTGCATAGTGTCGCCTTCTAAGAAAACCATAACTATCTTTGTGTTGTATCTTTAAGTATATCTAAATGTTTGTATGTATATACTGTTCATGTACAAATGTATTAATATCTTTCTTTATTTACTTCTTCATTTATATTTACTGCCTAATCTGATTTAGGCTTGTCTTCACACACTGCATGCACATTCTCCACTTCATAGGGAGCATTCCGGCCAGACCCTAAACCATGATAAGCTATAAATTCATGTTTTGGGCTAAACAAAATATAGTCTATGTCACCATCCATCAGATTTTATCCTGAGTTACCAAACAATATTGGAAGCTTAAAGGTAAAGACCAGTTTTGGAAACGCCCCCCTCTCAACAAAATTAAAATGGAAGCTCTTATTACCAATCATGTGAAAGAATATTTTTTGACTAATAAGTGCTGATACAAATTTTGCCGGGAAACCGCCTACTAATTGATATATCGCGCACGTGTCGCGTAGTCCCATACACATCTTTCTGTGTACAGTGCTTGTAACTTTACCAATACTGGGCCAAAGTTCTTATCATTTTGATGACTCCAGAACCTTGCAGTACACACCAATACTTTTATGCTAAATGATCAACTTTTCCTGATCGATTCCACAACGTTTCTTTCACAATGCAATCGTATGACCAGAACTGGTCTTTATCTTTAATTTCCAGATTATATTAACAGATAACAATGAAATATATAATCCCTGAGTTACATACATGTATATTCAAATGAATCTGAGTATATTTCAAAAAGTAAAAATGTAAAAGAATGGTAGCACAAAATGATACAAACACCTACACACTGTAGTTTGCATGAAAACATGTGTTCCTAAATCCTACCTTCCTACTTTAACATTGAATTTATAAAAAAAATGGCAAAACTTGAGGTAACTTTGGCGACGAGCGAATACAATATTGCAAGTAAGAGGATACCATAACTCATTTCTAATCTAAAGAAGACCATGATTTAATATTTAGTTAAGAAAGTAATGATAACAAGATATTTTATTCAGTTCATGCTTGAAATATGGAAAAATATCTAGAAAAATGTCTACATGAAAAATTGTCGTCAATCCCATGGGTCTGGAAATACAGACTATTCAATCTTTGGTGACTTTTCTATGGTAGACCGATGTACATACTTCTACAAATAATTTTTACTAGGCATTACTATAAGAATATAATGCTTTTATATTAACACCCAAAAGAACTGGGGGCGTTTCACAAAGCCTTTTTTCCAGGACAAATGACAAAAATCAGTGACAAATCTGCTGATGACCAATCAGAAGCAAGGATTTCAGAAGCATAAAACAAAAACTGTCATTTGTCACTGATGACAAGTTTTGTGAAACGTCCCCTGATCGGCGAAATGAGAGCTTGAAGATCAAGAAGTAATTGTTAAAATAATTTTTCAGTTTTCCTTTTCTATGCTGCCCATAGACCAGCTTAAAGCCCCACTGTACTACTTATAGCTACTTGCGCCCTCTATAAAGCAAACGCTGCTTAATTGGTAACCATTCGTCTCCCATGATCCACTTTTTCTTATGTTAAGTGAGAGCTGATTTGATGAGATAATCACCTGTCAGTGACCTTGCAGAGTGGTCTAATCCCTCCTGGAAATTAGTACAGATGGGCATTAAAGTTGCCTTGAGATCGGATGGCGTTCTAAAAAGATATGACAGGTTTCGAGTTGCAACAAGTCTGTTGACGGGAAGTTGCAAAACCAGTTTTGTGAAACACTCGGCAGACAAGTCGAACAAAAGCATTGGGATGAAATAGATCTTGTACTTATGACGGCTTCATGAAACAAGCCCCTGGTGGTGTTTCACAAAGATCCCAAGTCGAACTTAACTCTAAGTTGGACTTAAAATTCATGGAGAGCCATCCGTAGCCTTAGAATAAAATATATTCAAAAGCAAAAACTCAAGTATTTTAGACTTTTCATAAATTCCACATCAAGAACATGAAATCTCCTCGACAATAGAAAGTATGAATGAACATTAAATGCCTTCTAAAATAACTTTTACAAAATATTTTCAAAGATGCTAATAGCTTTCCATAATTGTTAAGTCCAACTTGGGATCCTTGAGAAACACCCCCTTGGTTCCAATCTGAAATAGATTCCGTCAATGCACACTTTTCACATGATTCTTAAGGCTGCACTTATAAGGAAAGCTCTCTGTACATTTGGGACATGGATGAGGCTGTGCACTGGCTTGTCTCGTTAAATGCCTCCTAAGTTCCGTCTTTGAAACAAAACCTTTATCGCAATGTTGGCAACAGAACGGTCGTTCCCCGGTGTGCGTCATCATGTGTTCATTAAGAGCCTGCTTTGTTCCCAGCATCCTGCCACAAATGGAGCACTGAAAGGACTTCTCACCCGTGTGCTTCTTACGATGTCTTCCAAGGTTATACCCATTGATGAAGCTCATGCTGCAGTCTGGGCACTTGTGAGGTTTCTCATGCAAGTGGATCTTCATGTGGTTATTGAGGATGGTCTTCAGATGGAACCTCGCATCACACTCGGGACATTGGAAGGGCTTTTCACCCCGGTGGACTCTTTGGTGGTACCGCAAGGAAGCTTTCGAATTAAATCGCTTTCCACACTCCCCACACTCAGGTAACTTTCCCTCCAAGTGAAACATCTGTCTATGAGCAACAAGGGAGTACTTCGAAGAATAAGTTTTATCACAATCAGAGCAATGGTTACGCTCAACATTCGGGTGCATTCTCAAAGCGTGTTCACGTAGACTACCCCTTGTAGCAAATTTGTCATCACACTCTTTGCATGGGTGTGGCCCGGTGTCTTCACTATCGGTATGTATTCTCAAATGGTGATCCTCGAGGGAACCCTTTGTGAGGAATTTCCGACTGCATTCAGAACACTGATACAGACATTTTTCGGGGTGGAATCTCACGATGTGGGCATCGCAACTCCACTTGGCAGTGAACTTGATATCACACAAGGAACAAGAAAAAGCCTTGACACCGGTATGTACTGTAACCTTATGTCTTTCAAGGTTACCAGCTCTGTTAAATGCTTTGTCGCATTGTGAGCATTTATAATTCTTTTCACCAGTGTGAGTCCTCATGTGAACAGCCAGCCTTGCCTTCCTTACAAATTTCTTGCCACACTCCGGACACGCAAACCGTTTTTCTCTGGTATGCGTTCGTTTGTGTTGCAGCAGGATGGCCTTCGTCTTAAAACTTCCATTACATACAGCACACAAGTGAGACTTCATGTGTTTTGCAAGACGACCCTTTGACATGAAAACCTTATCACACGTACCACACATAGACTTTTCTGTATGACTCCTCATGTGCTGCGCAAAACGAGCCTCTGACGTGAATACCTCATCACACTTTCCACATCGAAGTTTTTTCGTCTGGTGATACAGGAAATGTTTCGAGAGCTCTGATTTTGTGTAATATTTCTTAGGACACTTGGTGCACGAAAACGTTTCTTCGCCACTTTGCGCTCGAACCTGTTGCTCGAGATCGGACTTGGTGCACAAAAATGTTTCTTCGCCTCTTTGCGCTCGAACCTGTTGCGCGAGATCTGACTTGATGCAAGAAAATGTTTCTTCGCCACTTTGCGTCTGAACCTGTTGCGCAAGATCAGACTTGGTGAGTAACTTGGTGCACGAAAACGTTTCTTCGCCACTTTGCGCTCGAACCTGTTGCGCGAGATCAGAGTTGGTGAGTAACTTGGTGCACGGAAATGTTTCTTCGCCACTTTGAGCTTGAACCTGTTGCGCGAGATCAGACTTGGTGAGTAACCCCCTGAGGAAGTGAGGGAACCTATGCGGCTTTCCATTGTGGATTCTCATGTGTACACTGACGAAGCACTTCTGACTGAATGTCTTATTACAGACGGGACACTGATGTTTTTCTCCTTTAAGCATCTCTCCTTTCTGCATCTCTCCTTTAAGCATCCCTCCTTTCTGCATCTCTCCTTTAAGCATCTCTACTTTCTGCATCTCTCCTTTCTGCATCTCTCCTTTATGCATCTCTCCTTTAAGCATCTCTCCTTTCTGCATCTCTCCTTTATGCAATCGCATATGTACAGTAAGGCAACCCTTTGCACGAAACTTTTTATCACACTCCGAACATTGAAACGGCTTCTCGTTGGTGTGTGTTCTTTCATGTATAATGAGGTCACTTCTTGAAAAGAACCTCTTACTACAATAACCGCACTTGTGCTCCTTTACCCCACCATGCATGTGCTTCACATGGCTTGTAAGCTCATAGTTTACGATAAATGTCTTCGGACATTGACGGCACTGAAACGGTTTCTCATCCGTATGCCTTCGCAAGTGCATCGTCAGGGCAGTCTTTCTCAAGAACCTGGCGCTACACACTGAACAAACATGGGGCTTTTTGCCTGTGTGTGTTTTCATGTGCTTCCTGAGGACACATTTGGAATGAAACTTCTTCTGACACTCCTCACACGGGTGAAGATCCTCCCCAGTGTGGTACTTCATGTGCAATTTTAGGTCACGTTTACGAAGGAACCTTTTATCACACTCTGGGCATGGAAACGGCTTCTGGATATCTTCTGTACGTTCAGTCGTTGCTTCACGACGATCTTCACCATGTTCTTCAGTGGTTCTGGTGGTTCTTGGAGGACGGTCGACCGAGACTTCACATCGAGCTTCTGCAGGGTTGGTGGTGTTAAAATAACCACCCTCCTTAGTCGAAGAGCCTTCTCGTGCCTGTTCCTGACATTCGAGTGTGAGCAGTGAAGTGTTCAAACTACTGATATCTGTCAAAGAAAAGTAATGAATTGATTGTTAATTATTGACCCATGCTTCTATGTGTTAAAGCCCTACTGCAGTACATACATGTATGGCTACTTGCGCCCTCTATACCTGGCTCAAATTAGTTATTTATAGGCAAACAAGTATGAAATGATTTCACCCGAGGTTTAATAATTGAAAGGTCAGAAGATCACATAAGGGCACAATTATATCTCAGTAAACATTTTCATTACAACGAAACCTGAAGAACCATTGAGACAATTTGTACCAAATTTCCAATAAGCCTGAAAGAATGAAGTCCTTAAGTTCTGGGGTTAAAGGTAAAAGTTCCCACCATCATAAGAGAGCAAGAAAAAATTTAAACATTTGTGAACTGATTTAAAACAATCTAGTAGCCAAAAAAAATTGAGAGACGAAACAGGTCCAAAATCACAGAAGGAATCATTTGAGGCTCCTTGAAATGACCTCCAGTGATGAAACTATCACTCTCTCAATGAACTATAATGGCTATAGCTCTTATTGGATTTAAAGGGTGTCAATGGATATGGGGTAAAATACAAAGGGTGGTACTCTCGAAAGCGGACTTACTTTAGTCTATGGTTTAATCCACCGACTAAGCATGGAATGCCAAGTGTCCATATGAAAATATTTTTAAAAAATTGATATGTCGTTAAATTACCATGCAACATAATTATATCATAGTTATATTGTTGTTTATTAATTATGTTATTACATTTCATTTTAATTTAGTGACAGATTAAATTATTCAAAAACATATTCATATGGACACTTGGCATTCCATACTCAGTAGGTGGATTAAAGCACAGACTAAAGCTAGTCCGCTTTGAAGAATAACACCCTAAGAGGTTACAACTTAGTTTGTCTACCTTGCTCTTTTGCAGATTGTGAAGCGATACCAGGCCCAAGAAAGAAGATCTTGTGTTCTTGAGAGCCTATTTTTTCCCAGTCTTCTTGCTTCATGCACTTGATCTGATGACCAGCATTCTCCCACTGCACAGAATGATACCTGGTTTCATCTTCCAGGAGCTTGTCATGCTCTCCTGTAGTGCCTACGGTTGAAGACAAAAAAGGATGTATATTATACAAATAATGAATGGTTATGAGTTCAATAGTGAGAATATTTTCATGAGTTGAAAGATTAACATTCTATTTAACGAGGCGTCAGCCGAGTTGAATAGAATTAACGTTAATCTTTCAACTCATGAAAATATTCGCACTATTGAACGAATGAAAAACATTTATTATTTGTTTTAATACATCGAAGAAGATCTAATAGAACGTTAATCAACAAATTATGCTTTACTCCTTATATTAAAGATAAAGGGGGGGGGGTGGGAGGAGAAAGATTGAGCTGATTCTGGACCACTTTTGGTACAAAAACTTTCTCCCCCGATTTTGTTTAATTTAGATTTAATTTTCTTATTTATATGTCGGTTAGAAAAAAACTACCGTATGTATATTTTTCTCCTACAGTTATAAAGTTATAAAGTTTTGATGACTTATTTCCAAATGCGAATTTACGGACTTACTTATATGAGTTATCCAATTTTTTAATCTCAGAACCATGAATCGGTACGTTCATGCATTCAAACTGGTAGTTTGACATAACCTGGTCGATATACATTTCCGGGTCAACCTACCAAAACATAGCCAATGGCCAATCAGAGCACTCGTTTAATATTGGGTTTATGAATATTCACATATCATAGGGTCAACCCGGTCTGACTCGTAAGTAGCTATTGGACGTTCAAAAAGAAAAAAACGAATATTCATCAACTCAAACCAAGATGGCTGACAACAAATCATGCTGACTACAAAACTTTCTCGGATTAATTATTAATTTAAGATTTAAATGAACAAGCTATCGTACGTCAAAGTAGATATTTCTTTGTTACTTTTAATTTTGAATAAGATTCAGTGTAATATTGCAGCCAAAGTGAATATATGAGGACGTAAAGAGTGAAAAACTTGTTTCATCGCGGTCCGGCTGAACCGAACCATTCCTTCCACACATTCCGCATAGGACGTACTTCAGTAGAGTGTCTGAACAATTTTTCAATTTTCCCTTTTGGATTGTTTTTCACCATCATGGTTGGATAATTGAAAAAATCAACTACTCAGAAGAACACATTTCAAATTTCAAGGCTCACCGAGCGATTTTTTTATCAAAAGATACAGCCCCAAAATAATCTAGGCAATATTCATCCAATTTTTGTCCAGATTCGACAAAAAAGTGGTACATGCCGAGTTATAATATTTGCTCAAAAGCTGCACAGCACGATATGCAAAGCGTGGGGGTAAGGCGTGGGGGTAACTGTAACTGCTTGTGATCCCTTGGGACTAGAGAAAAAATAAGCGATGGAAATATTCCTTACAGCTGGCCCAACTTATCCGTCGGGGGCTCACTTCATAAAATTGGTAAATCTCTCCCTTAGGGGATTATGGAGAAAAACCTGCTCTTTCATATGACACCTCACTTATTGAGTACCGTATCACCTTCAGACAAAATCAGGATCATGAGCAGTATTGGTTTGAATTTGGGTAATAAAAACATTAACCAATTTTGCATGAGTGCGCAATGCACATGGACTGCAATCATTTTGCCTTCGGCGTAGACTAGAAGGGATGAGATTGATTTAGATGACTCCGGCAGCAAGAGTTTAACACGGCTTGCAAGATTTTCAACATGGATGTCGATTTTTACCCATAATTTCCTTAAAAGGGACCATTAAACGGATTATTTCAATCAAGTTAGTAAGTGGAACCGATGTATTATAGCCTAGGCCTAATTTACATTTGGATATACACGAGGTAAAATGACATTTTGGGGGATTTTGGGGGCAAAACGCTACGACCTGAAATGGCCGTGGCGTTATCAAGGGAATGTGTATAGACGGTTTCCGTCTCTAAAGAGAGAGCCGGCCGACCCTACCCCAATAGGAGGCTAACGAACGAAAGAGACGGGAAATTTGGTCTAGACTTGTGTCATACTATTACTAATATAGTACAGCATGGACCTCAGCTTGGCCTATAATTCCTACTCCTAGCGTTCTCGTGAAATGAGCCACTGCAGCTGCACTGATCATCGAGTGTGCGCACACAACACACACACACTTGCACTTGCGCCAGTTGCATGTAAAGTATATCCAGAGACTTGTCTCCCAAGTCCCTGGTCTATCCACAGGGTTGGAATCCCCGTGACACACATAGGCATTGCACGCAATGAATCGCTACGTACGATTACACAGGTAAACAGAGAATGAGCAGTACTGACTGTGGCTTATTTCACGAGAAATGCCTGGACCTAGTATACTCACACTCTCTGGTCGTCATTGTGCTGCTTACTCCTGCATTCCATTAAAAATGAAATTAGTCATGCAGCTGCAGCTGCTTTTTGGCTCTCGATCTCAAAATCTCGGCTCAACCGTCTCGATCTCAAGTGAAGAAACAAAATAATAACACAACGGTGTCTCTTAAGAAGCAAAAATGATTTTGGAAAAAAAAAAAACCTGACTTCAGACTGAAATAACGAAAAAAAGAAAGAAAGAAACAACGAAACAAACAAACAAAGAGAGGAATTCAGAGATAGAGAGAGAGAGAGAGAGAGAGAGAGAGAGTGAGAAACAAAAGGAAAGAATGAAGAAGAAAAAAGAAGGAAGAAATGAAAAAAAGGAAAATAATAATGAAAGCAATACAAATGTTAG